TTGAAACATTTTATGATGTGTTTATGAGGTGAGGTCACTTGTAGCGACCTGGTGACCTGACCTTGAAGGACCCTGGTCTGAAATTTTCACAAAATGTATAAAATTGATAGATGATAAGGTGCCGCCGTTTTTCAGTTATCCGCGAAAAACCGCAGGGGGGGGGGGTGTGTTCAAAAACCTCCCCCCCTCCCAGCAGGGCGCGGGTTAACACACTTTGACCATTTGCCCCAGTAGTCAAAATTCCTTAGCCGAGGCCCTGATTTACATCTTGCTGTCATGGCAAGATGCAAAATTCAGTTTTAGGCAGGCATTGAAAATTTGACGTTAATGGGATGATAAGGGCTTAAGATATCTGCGAAAAACAAGGGGTTGGCGAAATTCGCCCCCCCCCCCCCCCCGCTTGCACTGTGCGTGTTGGTTGGCACGGTCCTGTCCCTTTTCATAAGGTTCAGGCGGCATCCTTCACCAATATTTTTGGCGCTCCTACACCCATGTACCTAACGTTCATAAATATTATCCTGACAATATGTCCATTTAATATTAAAATGCTAGATGCTGGTTTCAGTGTTTTTATGTCATTTTTTACAACTTATATACTTCCATAGGAAAAAAATCAACACTTTTTAAATTTCTTTTCAGATTTTCGCCGCTTCCCTGCTGGTCGGGCTGTGCCTGGCTGATGGAGGTGGTCGCTTCAGTCACGGCCACGGACGGGTGACCTCAGGTCACGGAGCTGTGACCCGAGGTCGTGACTTCGGAAAACTGAAGCTTGGTGGACGAGGAAAAAAGTTCAACGCTCTCAGCTCTGGATACAAAGCTCCTAGCACTGGCTACCACGCCCCTAGCACTGGGTACGGCATTCCTACTTCCAGTTACAGCGCCCCCAGCTCCAGTTACAGCGGCCCTAGCTCTGGATACAGCGCTCCTAGCTTTGGATACAGCGCTCCTAGCTCTGGATACAGCGCTCCTAGCTCTGGATACAGCGCTCCTAGCTCTGGATACAGTGGCCCTAGCTCCAGCTACAGCGGCCCTAGCTCCAGCTACAGCAACATTGGCTCTGGATACAACGATATTGGCTATGGATACAGTGCTCCTAGCTCCAGCTACAGCGACATTGGCTCTGGATACAGTGTCCCGGGTGCACGTCAGAATAGCTAGTGACATTTGAGCTAGTGACTTTTGAGCTAGTACAAAACAGCTAGTGCCTCAAAACAGCTAGTGACAAAACAGCTAGCGTCAATATAGCTAGTAGAGCAAAATAGCTAGTGCTTCATTATAGCTAGTGACAAAATCGCTAGCGTCAAAATAGCTAGTGAAGCAAAATAGCTAGTGCTTAAAAACAGCTAGTGACAAAACAGCTAGCGTCAAAATAGCTATTTCGTTGGACCTCTGTTCCCTTCCCAATCACTTCGCTTCGAAAATGCAAGATATCTATGACACATGTATTTCCCGCGTCATGCCATCTCAAACATTCAAAGTGATGTTGAAGCCTACTCCCCGAATGAATTCTTTTTTGCTAATAATGCCTTCCCTGTAGCGTCTCAGTAGAGTGACCAATCTGGCATTCATGTCTCTGTATGTTTTCTTTTGTTTTTGAACATCCTGGCCGCTTTTGAATTTCACAAGATCAGATGCTTGAAGATTTTGTTCTTTTTGGATGGCGGTGAAAAATCTCATTAATGATGGGTGTGATGAGTCAAACATGCCTTGTATTCCCCGGTGCCACGCTTCTAATTTGTTGTTTGTCCTAGGGATCCCTTCCTCTGTCCTCCTATCATTCCAAATAATTTTGTCAAACAACGGTGCTCTTCTGCTCCTTCTACCCAGCCTTCTTATATATGTATCTTCAATGTAATCGTATAATTGATGTAATCCTTCTTCCCCCAGCTGTTCCACTTCCTCTTGTAATTCCTCAAAAGTTTCAACAATTTGCGACGGTTCGAAGAATGCTAGCGCACACAGTGATTTGCTGGCTTCTCGGACTGCAGCCTTGTCCCGATATACTGCGGGACAAGACCGCAGGCCTGAACCTTACGCCAAATACCTGAGTCAAATGAAAAAAAAAAAACATCCCTCTACTGAGACGTCAGGGAAGGCATCTCGGAGGGCCCTTTCGGCCGACAATTCGAAATCAATAACACACGTACGCGGTTGTAGATCTCTAAATGACTTTAAAATTACGAAGAATTTTCGGTATGTTGCGAAAGTTTTGTCTGGAAGAAGTGCATAAACGCAAGGGAAAACATGGCCTGAGTCACCTACAACCACATGAATGGTGTATACCTGACTAAAAAGTACTGGTGAAATTTTGAAAGTTCCGTCGAGCATCCATGTATCGTTCGCCGCCAGTTCGTCAAGCATTTGGTCGGTCGCAAAAACTATGATTCGGTCGTTCGGTCGTTCGTTGTAATCGTCTTCGTTTTCGGCGTTGTCGTATAATAAAAAGCGTACGTCTTCTTCCCCTTGCTTAACAAATTTAAATTTTTCGGGAATTTGAATTTCTGCCCTCGTCGACGGCTCCGGGGCATATCCTTCCAGCCTTCTTCTTTTTCTTTGCAGCCTCAATGTAATGTTCTTTCGTTTCGGTGCGAATACGCTACAGCTTCATTAGTTATTTCGACGCTAGCGATTTTGTCACTAGCTTTAATGAAGCACTAGCTATTTTGCTCTACTAGCTATATTGACGCTAGCTGTTTTGTCTCTAGCTGATTTGAGGTACTATTGCTTCCAAATTAAGCTTGATTCGCGCCTGGCTCTAGTACTGCATTGAATACCCTCCCGAACCCCTCCCGTACCGCCAGGGTAGCTGTCCCGGTGAGGTGCGTGTCAGACTGAAGCAGTGCGTGGACCTTGTGACTGTCAGTCCGCGCCTGGGGCAGGGACACGGGAATGACCTGTGATAATGGCGGGCACGTGAGCGTGACGCATAGCTGGGTCACATTCTATCCAATCAGGGATGATGAAAGCGCCACAGTGCAGTGGTCAGGCCGATGATCGGGTGGGGGAGCGCTGGATGGGCGTGTTACGGCCTACGGGTGAGAAAATATTTGGCACGCTTGGCAATTCGAGTGCTACACGGACTTATACGCTAAACCTTTTCACATTTTCTGAAGCAGGGAATCAATTTAAGTCCTAGACGTCGCTGGCCGAGGAGAGTGCCTTCTCAGACATTATTTTTTCCAATTGCACGAAGCAAGCAAACAATCGTTTTTTTAAGATTTTCGAGCTTTTTCGAATGCCGCTTACCACATGTCGCATACGTGGGCGTGGCCTGCAGGAGCCGAGTTAGTGTGGGGGGGGGAGGGAGGTGGTTGGCGCCGAGCACCTGCTTGGCGCGGGTTAATAATTATCTGAAAATATATATAATATATGTTCAGATTATATTGACATTATTGTTTTAAATCATACTGTGCTTATGATTATTACACGCAATATTAAAACTAGCTCAGTCAAAGCACCCCGCAGTAGAGCAGAAAACATTATCAGACATCGTGCAGGCCCGGGCCGGCGTCAGATCACTGCCCTCGCCTCACAGCGACTTCTGTTTCGGCCGCTGGTCTCGCCCGCCGGCCATATGTGCCCTTGACCTTTGACCTACGATGCGGGTCCTGGCTGAATTCCGTTCCGATCGCGCGTCCAGCTGCACCACGGCCGCGCGGCCCGTCTCTCGCCCGGCGCTGCGCCCGAGCGCCGTGTCATGCTTCTGACGCCAGAGGCGCCCGAGGCCAAAATCGCTGATCGCTGACCGACCACAGGTCACGTCCGCACCCCTACCCGCGCGTTTGAAACTCCCGGATGTCACAAAGCCCCGGATGTTAAACCTCTGGCCTACCGTGCACGGCTCGCCGAGCCGGGTATCTCGGTAAAACTCGGTCTCCGGTAGGGTATTCACTACAGTACTGGAGCGAAGTGAGGATCAAGCTTAATTTGGAAGCAATAATACTAGCTGTTTTGCATTACTAGCTATTTTGGCGCTAGCTGTTTTGTCACTAGCTGTTTTGAAGCACTAGCTCTTTTGTACTAGCTCAAAAGTCACTAGCTCAATAGTCACTAGCTGTTTTGACGTGGACCCAGTGTCCCGAGCTCTGGATACAAGGCTCCCAGCTCTAAATATGGCCCGCCCAAGCTGTCGTCTGGCTATAACTGATAGGTAATGCCCAGCCGGGAAGAGTGTGCGTTTTGTCCGACGTCACTCAGTGTTGATCAATACGGATTCATGCTCCCATATTGTTGGGAAAATGTTGCTTCTTCTGGAAAATAGTTGTATTCATCTATATTGCTCAATATCTAGCCATGATTTTTGGCCATCGATGATTATATTGAAGCACATTCTCATTCAACATCAATATGCATTCATATTCAGTTTATTAGAAAAAGATCCACGCAAAAGGAGGCTTTTCTCTCTTTCACGTCAATCCATAAAACATATCTGGATAAGTTTCTGTCCTTTGTTATTGCAGCCGCGAAATATATCTTATATTGAATTATGTTAGTGTATTTGGATAAGCCTGCTGACCACACTCTCCTTATAACATCTTGGGAAAGATGAAGGAGAGCTATATAGTTATCTAGGTAATAAAAACCCTGAGCATATTATAGGGCGTCTGTTTTCTACGTGTTTGTCTTCGGAAAATGTTTTGGGGATTTCTGGTTAATAGATATTCATGACAAAGCTTGGCCGCCTTGGTTTCCATTGGGAGACACAGACATACCTAATGAAGAAAATATGCTGGGGGTCGGGAGGGGCCTCAGTTGCAAGAAGCTTAGAATGCGTGCTTATTTTACGGGCAAAGCGCGAGTTGGCGGCGGCCATCGGTATTCGTCGGGAACTGGATGTTGTCCCGATATGGTAGCAGTGTCATGGACTCTTTCTGAACGAAGGACTGCAGTAAGAGGCGTAACATGGCACGCACGTTGGTGATATAAGCAGTAAGCACTGGTGATGCCTGCAGCGATTTAACACATTGAGTGGTTCCAGCATACACACCACACATATAGACTTACATCAAACTTTCAATTTATTGCGGAAAGTAATCGATGTGTAAAACATTCACTACGTAAATGCGGATAGACTTGCTATCATCACGAACAACACAGGCACATTAATGGTTCGATTGCAAATAACGGTTTGTTACGTTCAAGACGGGTGAAAGACGGACCAAATTACTCTGAATCAATGAATCTTGCTGAGATCTGTGATTACATCTTTAGAAACACGGATGTTCGGATGCAGAAAATCAGCTGGAAATGGCTGAAGCAGCGGCGCTTCACCGGTAGCCAGTGCCGCCTCAGCCCATCATCGGTCCGCCGCCAGCCGGGCTTTCTGCGGCTGACGTCATTGTGGCTGTGACGTCACTGTTCACCGTGACACACCTGCAAGCGGGCATTTGTTCAGCCGGAGGGGCAGGATATTTCGCTTATTCGTATAATGATGTAAATGTTCGTACGATTTAGACATACTAAAACATTTTTGTCTATTTTAACTACAATTACATTCAGTGATAACGAATTAACGAATTCGTTGACACACCGATCAATAAAATTAATTAATAGTCGATGCAAGAAACGCATATGCATGGTTATACGTATAGTGTGTATGACACTTATAGTAACCAATGTTGCATGTCTCATACGCACGAAGTAATGCAACGTTTAAATCGAGTGATGGCTTATTGAAAACATCGACAGATACGGCATGACTGACCGTTTCACATCAGTTTCCGGCACTGATCAGCACTCAGCAGGCAGCTGCTAGCGCGTCCTTGATCCCCTGCACAATGCGGTTCATCTTCTCTGGAGTGTCCACGTAGCCATTGCCGTTCTAAGGGGGGGGGGGGGAGGGAAGGACAGGGTCGAATGGAAAGCACATTCGAATGCTGACAATGCTGTTTTTTTTTAGACACGGCGGTGAAACATCGTTGATCATGCCCATTTGAACTATGTATGTTCAAAAGTTTGTTTGTTTGTTTATTGGAGCTTTAGGGATATGTGCAAAACTAAAATTATTATTCATGTTATCCACATAACATAAAAAATAAACATAACTAATACTAAACAGGACTGATACTCACCGGGTCACACCTGCCTCTCATGTCTCACACTTGGATAACCAGATTAGAGCAAATAACGTGGACTACCTATAAATGTTCAGCAATAAGACAGTCGTCTACCTTTTTGGAATGAAGAAGTTTGCCGCCGACGATCTGGACCTCGAAGTAGCCAGTGACGCTGGCGGTTCCCTCACCAGTCTGGAAAGGCAAACAACGCGTCTTAGTTGTCGAGGCAGCATCGGGAAGCCTGAGACCTAATTCCGATGAACGAATATTTACTTCGGGCAAATGTAAAGCATACAAACCAGTTATTGAAACATCAATGCATACAAAATAAACATGGAAAATGCGCAATGTCAAATCATTTTATTCCGGGAGCGATAAATATAAGTGAACGCACCACACATGAGTCGTTTACTTACGATGTCCAGCTCCCTCGGAAAGGCCCCATCCAGTTCCGCCTTGATACGGCGGAACTTTGGGGCGTATCCTCAGGCGCCGCTGGAATGGGGTAAACATCGTCAAATAACACGCATTGTGGCAAGAAAATGTCAGTAGGATACATTTGAAAGCAAAAACGAAAGGATATTTTCAATTGACTGATGATGATGGATTAGGACGAAGTCACGAAGTACAGCATTACAGCTACAGACACATTAAATGCGTGAAAGTACGACGTCAAACGGCTGATAAAAAAATAAAACATGGCCGTTTATGGAACAAAATAAAATGTGATGTAAGAAATATGGTCCGCTGTCGTATGCATATTCATTTTCAGAGCCTAGTAGTCCGACTCTGTCCGATCACACAGCAAAGTACATGGTGAAGGATCGACAAAAGATAACCTTTTTTGCTGTCAACTGAAGAAGGGTTAGGAGGTCGGGCATCGGAACGGGACATTGAAGTGGCCATTAACATAACACGGCTTTCATCATCGTAATTTGTAGACTGAATAATTGACGCACTTCGCAAGCCAGATGGCATTTGGCAGCTCCGTACGTAGGTAAGGTACAGGGTGACACAAAAAAACGGTCATCACCAAATTTCGAATAACTTCAGAAGTTTTATTCAGATCATCACCAAACTTCGGCCACTTAAGGTCACACCTATGTAGCATACATCCACCAAGTTTCAAGTCTTCACTACGAAAACTTTTAGTACAGTGTGTGTTTTACTGACGCTCCACAATGTGCTCCAGGTGAGCGCCACGGCGCTGCAGGGCGTAGGCACACTTGCATCCGGCGGGCAAAGTTGTCGATAACCCAATGGCTGTGCACTTTACAGAGTGCAATGGCCTCTGGAGACAGTGCTCAGGGGGTGTGCTACCCCTGAAACGTTATTCTTATCGGGTTATCGGCAACTTTGCCCGCCGGATGCAGGTGTGCCTACGCCCTGCAGCGCCGGGGCGCTCACCTGGAGCACATTGTGGAGCGTCCGTAAAACACACACTGTACTAAAAGTATTCGTAGTGAAGACTTGAAACTTGGTGGATGTCTGCTACATAGGTGTGACCTAAAGTGGCCGAAGTTTGGTGATGATCTGAATAAAACTTCCGAAGTTATTCGAATTTTGGTGATGACCGCTTTTTTTGTGTCACCCTGTAATACACGGAAAATCTGTGGCGCCGGGCGCTCCGGCACAGCATACCTTTCAGGCGTCAACTACTAGTGCCATCTAGGGACGGATGTGTAAGTAAATCACTTCGAAGTGAATCCAATACGAATCTCAGCGGCTCTCTGCGATTGTCTTCAAAGCATCGACGTGATGCATAATAATCATAAATGACATAAATACAGGTGAACATATGCCTGCTAGTAAAATTACCTATGCATAATTTTAGCATCAGAACGAAGCCGTTAAAAAAAAAGACTCCGGCATACGTTGTCAACGGCCACAATCGATCGAAGCTAGATCGAATATAAGAAAGGTCGACCCAACAGGTGGCATAGGTAGGCCCCAGAACAAAGCTTTTGGAACTTATCTGGGACGTAACTGAGAGGGGAGGGTCATCTTACGGCCTACGGGAACAATGGCTCACTCTTGAGGGAGGTCAAATGAATAACGGACTCCTGCCATTATGATATAATTCACATTTCACAAGGCATCTTACCAGTAGATGACATGGATTTTCAACTTGTCCTTCATTGTTTTGTAGAGTTGACCACGGATAATCCAAACTTAATATTCCTTGTTTTGATTATTCAAGTTAAACTGAAAAGAAATGTGAAATAATAACCTCGCTTAACCAGAAAAATATTGTTTTCAGCCAAATATTCAACAAATAGCAAACAAACACTGCTGATGTCGTCGTCATGGCAACAAATAATTGCTCGGGCACCTGGACATAAAGGTATTTTCTTCAGTCTTTCAAAATTGTGGACGCTGATGATCCACTCTCACTATACGGCCTTGATGACTTGATGAGTGATGACCGTTGCACCGGCACATCATCGACGCATAGGCTCGCCCAGTCTCATCAATGTAGAATATGAGATAACACGGCTACAGGATGAATTCAGTTTTTTACCGCTAGATAGCCAGGAAAGAAGTACTCGTCATCTGTCAGCCGGCATTAAAGCGTTCATTATATTCCGCTGCTTTATTTAGATATTGTAATCGCAAACTGTTCGTAAACGTTCATCGTCATTAGAGTAAATTACGTTGCTTGATGGTTCGTTTGTCGTAACTCGTAGATGTATTATACACGGAAAGGCAATGCAATAACTAGCATCGTAGATGTATATTCATACGAAATGTGCAATTCACAGTAAGTTGGCCAGTCTCTCAAACTTGCCTCGTAGATCGGTCCTAGGCTGATGTGCCATTGACCGGACCGGCCCGACGGGAAAATATTCGTTCGGCCGGCAAACTGATCTCAGCCAGTAGGTAATCACCGGTACATGACGGTAGTCAGATCGACTGAAGAGCCACTCATGTCTTAGCACTGGTTATAAGGATCGAGTAAGCAGCAGAGGCGCAATGTATAACGTGACGATTAACAGTATCGGCAGAGACTCTCAATACAGTACACAATGATGAGCATGCAAGAAAGAACAGAAGGTACAAGATATATAAAACAATATAAATTGTGGTGTATAAATCGACATATTGCGATGAGAGTATGATACATATATACAGTTTGAAACCAACAGATTGGTTTGAGCGAGAAGACATTCAACTCTGAGGTCGTTTTGAAGGAAGATCTACCCACAACTCATGCTACCGTAAGCCATCCAGATTGAATGATTCATTACATTACTTACGATCAGTTGCTGCAAAACATTATCGGCTCACATATCACACATGACTATCAATGGAGGACGGACTGGGAATTCGTGACTCTGAGAGTCGTGATTCGTGACTCCGCGAGTCGTGATGGGCGGAAGGATCTGTGATCACAGGTTTGGATCAGCTACAAAAGACACGCATTTCCACTTATGTGAGCACTCTCGCCAACAATTCTAAACAATGAGTTTGGAACAACATGGAGCCGATGTTACCTCGCCTCCCACCAAGCACGCCAGCTGACATGAGATCCAACCATATCGTTCACGCACACAGCAAGATCATTTGAGCAGATCAGCGACACTATCTGCTTTCTAACAGGCAGTGATGAATGATGGTATATAAAAAAACACTCAATATATCTAGTAGCGTCTCTTCATGATTGTCCCACCCAGCCATGGTTGGAATGTCTGTGAGCCATGCTGGGCCGATAGTCACGTTTACTACGCTTCTACAGCGCCACGAGCGGCGGACGCCGGAACTACTCGTATCACAGATGTCGCGCCATGTTCACTGGCCGTCTCACCACCACTAACCCTGACATCACACTTGAGTCTTCTTAGTATGACGTCACACTCAGACCTATCACGTCAGACCTCACATGGCCGTCTCTAGCGGCTGCGATCGAGTCCTTCCCTGCTGGAAGTAGTCATCCGACGCCAGGCTGGCTGAGCGAGGGAACGGGTCCGCCGATCGCGCTACCGTCGCTGCTGGCGGGGTTGGACCGCGTGCCGGCACACCCTCATACACGGGTACTGTGTCGGAGGCTGCATCCTCGTCCCCAAACGGCCTCTTCAGCTCCAGAGTCGAGTCACTGGCGCCTGAGTCGTCCGCCACAGAGCTGGGCTTACAGTCGTCCAGCTCCACGGCCATTTTCTGGTCGTAACTGTCGACGGCGGCACCCGCTCCCGCTGGCTCCCAGGGAGAGGGCACGCGAGACGTGAATGTCGAGCGGTCTAGGTAGCCGCGGTTCTCGTAACCGAGGTCGAACGTGGGCCGGGCCAGCGCGTCGGCGTTGGCGTTCTCGAGGCGCGGGTCGTGCGCGAACCGCTCGTCGAAGGTGGTCGTCGAGTGGGTCTCGTCAAACGACGGTTTGGCGATCGAGTCGACGCTGCCGCCCGTGGCGCCGTCCGGCATCGGGTTCGGCTGTGGGAAAGACGTAACAACGCATTAGCTAGAGCCAGAGGCGTGACTGAGGGACTAAGAAAGAGTGATTATGGGAAAACACGGGACACTTACGTTTAACCACATGCGATGGTTGAGAAACACAAAAATCTAGCTAGTAAGCATAAGACATAGCATGCCCTCGCAACAGATGACAACTGATGAATCTATGACGCAATTCGACTATCAGTTAAAAACACCCAAAACGAGTAAAAAACACAAGCTTCACGAATACCTCGTCCATCGAGCAACAATAACACATCCAGCACCATCATCCCCCACCACACCGCCCCCAACCACACAGCTCAGCACATCCCGCTCTATAACTCACATTGGGCCGGCGTCGGTACCCTCCGGTCCCTCCGGAAACATCCGAGAAGCTGCTGGCCAGGGAGCGCGTACTGCGCACACTGCTGCGGATGCTATTACGCCGGTGCAGCTTCTCCCTGTGTCTGTGACGCGACTTGGCCACCCACAGGCCGCAGATGACCAGTAGGAAGAGCAGGGCGGCCGCTCCGGCGCCCAGGACGCCAATCACCACGTCATCGCGGGTCCACGACAGCGGGTCGGCCGTCACACGCGGGTCTGTTGGAGGAGAAGCATGTCAATGATGACTGATAGGCAGGATGTAGTTACGGAGCGAGCGAAGCGAGCGGAGTCTTACGTAGAATAACGGAAATTTCTGAGTATGAGCGGCCGGCCGGCCGGCCGGCCGTGCGGACGCTTTTGCGAGGCTTATATCTCAGCAACCACTTGACCGATTTACATGCGGTAATTTTTGTAGGGTAGCTTCATTCCTTCTACCAAGTATTGGACTATTCCCGATGCATGTGGGTGACCCCTTATGCACGTGCCACGTGCAAAACGAAGAGGTGTCACTTTTGTAATTGTTGCAATATCTCGGTAACTACTTGGCCGATTGCGCTGAAAGTTGGCATGTAGGTAGGCACCCACTAGGCACTGCATATCCATGTGCCAGAGTTGGGGTGCTGCTGCACGTGCGCACGTGCAGGGGTCGTTTCCAGATCTCGAGAACGGCTGGACCGATGGCGCTCAAATTTGGTACACAGTTAGGGACCAGTTAGTAGGGTGCCGTGCACAAGTCAGTTGGGACCCATTTTGCACGTGCGCACGTGCAGGGTGCCGCTCCCAGATCTCGAGAACGGCTGGGCCGATTGTGTTCAAATTTGGCACATTGCTAGAAACCGGTCAGTAGGGTGCCGTGCACAAGTCAGTTGCAGGTACCCCCTCGAAATTTCGCACGTGCAAGACTCACCCCCTCGCTCGCTCCGTTAGTCGCCCCAAAAGGCGCTATACTGGTAGCACGGAATATATAGTCTACGACATGGAATGGACAGGAGCTTCGATTAGCATTGCCACGTGTGTAACCAAAAATCAAGGACTTTGCCGGATGAATCGGATGAATATCCGGAGATCCGGAGGATGCGGATGAATTTCTTTCCACGTGGGTTTACATTTTCATATATTTTCTTAACATTTCATACATTTTTTCTTAACAATCGTCGAATGATTCGTCTTCAAGGGCCAAGTTGTGACTGTGACTTTGAAATGGTTACCGGATATTTTATTGGAAACTTTTAGCACACATTGCTACGGGAGCATTTATACATATTCATTGCATTACAGTTTTAACATTGGTCTAAAATAAATGAAATTCGATGAAATTCGTCCAAAATTTGATGAAGATGAGGAAGTGCGAGCACTCGCGCTCTACTTCAGGGTCCCAGAACTATATATGGCCTTGGTCCCAGGGCGTATCGGTTCCTATCCTACAAAAACGGTACGTCCTTCCCCATCCTCGAACTCTGCGGAGGAAGATGGAAAAAATACAGATGCGACCTGGCTTTCATGACGCTATCTTGGCTCTCATAAAAGAGAAGTTCGCCGGAGCAAGTGCCAAGGACAAGCTGTGCATCATTTCGTTCGACAAAATGCAGCTGAAACCAAGGTTGGCCTACCAGCGGGGTGATGACGTCATCGAGGGCTTCACTGATCATGGCTCTCTCTGCCGCGCCAATGCCTGCGCCGACCACGCCTTGGTCATGATGGTGCGGGGCGTCAGTGTCACCAAACGCTGGAAACAGCCCATTCTTTCTGAGTTCCGGAACGACCAAGGCCGTTGTGCAGCAGCAGCTGTTAACACAGTGTGTCCAACGTGTAACAACAGCGGGATTCACTGTGCTAGCTACAACTTGTGACATGTCAAAGAACAACCAGGCGACCTACAGACTGCTCGGAGCTGCGGAAACCGGCTTGTTCACCGTGGACGGGCACGAGGTTGCTGCTCTGTATGACGTGCCTCACATCTTCAAATGCATACGAAATGCATTAATGAAATACGATATTGAAGTAGACGGTGAAGTAGCCTCTTGGAGTCATTTAGAAACACTACGCACTGGAATGCGCTTCTTCCCCACGGGCTGCTCAAAAACTAAGCCAGAAACACATCAGGCCAAATAGCTTTGAAAAATGAAAGTCAGCTATGCCCTACAGGTGATGAGCCGGACAGTAGCAGCAGCAATCACATTGCATGCGACCCACGGTAAGCTCCCGCGCACTGCACTCCCGACTGCAACTCTCCTGCTGCGCCTCAACGACCTGCTCGATGTGCTAAACGCTTCCGCCCGGTTCGACCCCTGCTCAAAGCGACGCGTGATATCCAGCCTCCATCCAGCAACGGCGGGAGAACACATGCAGTTTCTTCAGGAGAGCGACGCCTGGCTGCAGCGGTGGACGGTCGGCGTATTTGGAATTTCCGACCTTGACGAGCGTCTGTGGTAGAAAACCACCACTTTGGTAGGGGAAACTACTGCTGTCTGCTACCATTTGCACTGCATGTGTCGCTATCGCTGCGACATCTATGCATATACATGTAAACCACGACATCTGTGTGCGCTGATTCTAGTATAGCGATTAGCTAGGGCACCAGGGTGGATCCAGACTTTCGGTTTGAGGCAGGGCCGGGGTGCGGAGCCGGAGCCGGAGCCGCCGGAGCCGGCATATTTTGCCCGGAGCCGGAGCCAAAGCCGTGAAACAATATAGTTCGGAGCCGGAGCCAGAGCCGGAGCTGTCAAAAAAGGGGGCGACTCCGGATCCTTTTTTTGAAGAAGAAACAAATATTGACCCAGTTCGGTTTGTCAAACCGAACTGCCTTGAACTTGCAGTTCCAGGCAGTTATAAGAAATACGGTATTCAAAATATGAAAATAGCCTTAAGTTATGCAAATGCAGAAGCAACGTGCACCAATCCCATCTTCTTTTTTCTGCCACCCGTAGGTATTTAAAATGTACTGATTATTGGAGCCGGAGCCGCCGGACCATTTTACTCGGAGCCGGAGCCGTCGAGCCGCCATGGCATTTCACCCGGAGCCGGAGCCGGAGTCGGAACCGTCTGAAATGTCCACGACTCCGCATCCCTGGTTAAGGGTGGGCGTGGGGTAACTCATGGCCGGCCCGATCCCTGGCAGTCCGGTTGCTGAGCGGGGGGGGGGGGGGGAGAAAGGTCCAATATGATGCCACACCTATTGCCTATAGGCATATATAGTATGTATTGGTTTGTATTGGTATTGGTAAAGTTAAAGCTAAAGGTTATTAAATAAGTTAAAAAACACCGACGCGGAGCGCCACCGTTTTTAAGATATCCGCAAAAAAACAAATAGTCAACTTGATGAATCGATAAAAATCACTAACATCTCAGGAGGCACACTGCTGAGTGCTGATACCATTCAATACATACGTATATACCTATGGGCAATAGGCATGTCTTTTGGGTCATTATATTGGACTTTCCTCCCCCCCCCCCCGCTCAGCAACTTTGACTGCCGGGGATCGGGCCGGCCAAGAGTCCGCCCACCCTCAAACTGAAAGTCTGGATCCACCCTGCTGCCCTAGCTAATCGCTAACTAGAATCACCCAAGAATCACCGGTCACCGCACACACACGTCGCGATTTAATATGCATAGATGTCGCAGCTATAGCGACACATGTAGTGCAAATGGTAGCAGACAGCAGTAGTTTCCCCTACCAAAGTGGTGGTTTTCTACCACAGATGCTCGTCGAGGTCGGAATTTCCAAATACGCGGACGGTCGGTGGCGGCGCCAGCATCGACTCCATTCGAGGACTGCGACAAACGATAAAGGGCGTGGTGAAAATCCGGGACTTGTGTCAGGCTGCTGGGTGCACGTTCCTGTGCACTCGCCGCTTAAACCAAGATCCAAGCTACTGAAAATGAAAGAGTGTATCTCGGCAAAAATATATATTAGGCACATACACGGTGCCTGTGTACCTACTTAAAATGAAGAAACATTATGACAACGTTTGAAAACGTTTAACACAACCCCTCCTAAATGCATTTATGAAACGTGAGTGGGCCAATAAAGGCAACTAGTTATAACTGTAACAAAAAGCACTTCTGGGCACGTAAATGGGGTGAATGTGGTAAAATGTGGTAAAATTCACCAACCCATATCGCCTCTACCGGAAACCCGTTTTAACCCCCGAAGGACATTGGCAATAGAGCAGGATCGTTCATGTTTATCAAAACAGCCGGCAACTTTCTATCGCAGGGAAAGGTTGGCTAGGACGAGAGTCATTGCTTTCACTGACTATGACAAACCTACTCGAACGGATTTTCACCTAGGAAGTTACCAAACGAATGTTGAAAAATACATCAGCACCATGAAAAAAACCTTACCCACCATCCTCAGCAACGCCGCCTCCCGCCGGCGTCCACCGGAAAAGGGCGGCAAACGAGCGAAGTTTAAATTGTCAGAAGTGATTCCAGACAGCAACACCTGGATTAGAATAAAATGCGCCTTCTCATATTGCCCCGGTACCCCGTTATGCCCCACCTTCCCCTATTAGTTATAGGTCTGGCAACTATACTTTCATCCTCGTAAAGGAAGTAACCACAGCGAATCCGCACGACTAAATCATCAGGTCGCCAAAAACTCGGCAGTTACAGGAAATCTCGATCTTGTCCATTCCATGTCGTAGACTATATATTCCGTGCTGGTAGTATACGGTGAATGTCGAATGGATAGCGTCACGATACCTGTAATGCTGACACCATTAACTAAAAATATATTTTTCATAGATATAAGAAAACACGCATTCGATAGTCACACATTTTACCTTCTTATTTAAAAAACGTACTTTCTGTATCTTCCTTGTCTTCATAAGACTTTAGCTTCTTTAGCATAAACTTTCTCTGGCAATACAACCCGTTGAATGGATTATCGCAGCTGTCATTACCGTCGTCTGATGGCTATCCCCATCCCAACCCGACCTTACTTATCGAACCACCGCCCTCCCCCTCTCCCCATATACACACCCATTTCGCAGAGGAAGGGCAGCTGCAGCTCGCAGGGTCCGGTGACGACGCGCTGCTGTACGAAGTAGCTGCAGCCCTCCACAATGTCCAGGTGCTGCACCCAGACCCGGTCCAGGCGCCAGTTGTAGCGCTCCTGGCGGCCGCGGATGTACCGTACCAGCCCGCTGTAGTCGGTGTTCAGGTACGGCATCGACGCGTTATCGTCCTGTGGGGAGACAGAGGTGCGGTTAGAAGTCGCAGCGGAACTTTGGAGGTAAAAACGGAGCAGCGATACGGTCAACAGTTGAGATAGAGGAACGAGCACAGAAGTCAGAGTGGAAGCACAGAGTGGAAGAGGGTGGAGGCACGTTTACAGTGGGTCAATCCAGGGACAAGAGAACCGTTCCAGAACTCAGAGCGGGAGCACAGAGTATAGACAAGGTTTTCACGATATCTATTGCTAGAGTTTATCGTTATTACCAAGCTAAATAAGCTCAAACCAGAGCTTTGTACTCGTAGAATCCTTCACCATTCCCTTCCACTCCACTGTTAACCCCTCCCACACTCACCAGACAGAACTGTTTGGCCTCAGTGAAGTTCATGGGCGCCGGCATGTACATGAAGCAGGTGGTGTCGACCAGCGTCCATCCCGGCGGACACTTGCCGCTCAGTAGCGAGCGGTTGTTCATGTGGAAGTTGCTGTCAAAAGAAACGGTCCAAAGGTTACGGACAGTGGAAATTCAACTGTGTTAAAGACAGTAAGCTCACCGCAATTGTGATGACATTCTGAGAAAAAGGCACAAATGGTAACGTTTGAACATATTCATTTTGAATCCTTTCGAGCTGTCTTACGGCTAAGCTAAGACAAGATGCAATATGAAATGCTATACATGTATGAAATGCTGGGCATTCGAATAAATAGAGCCGCAGCAGCCTGCGCCACAGGGAGGCTAACGTTCAAGAGACGGCGTGTCTGGCGGTTACCTGAAGTCGACTCTGAGCAGTCCCTGTCCGTCCAGTTTATCCTTGATCCGTCCCTGGATGGCCAGAGTCTCGTTATAGCCCCACCAGTTGTGACGAGCATCCAGTGGAGTGCGCCATACCTCGTACCTGGCAGCACAGAGACGAGAGCAGATGGTTAGCGGTTGGTAGACACAGGAGGAACCGACATTTAGTAAATACGATATACAAATGACAAGAAATAACATCGGCGCCAGAAAGAAGGCACATCATAGAGTCGTCACACCAGACGATAACAGACGGTAGCTTCACGTAGCTCTCATTTGTCACAGTTGCAGCAAGACGCACCGAGCACGAACATCAATGTGATAACGGAATGGTCCCAAAAATCAGCAAGCGCGCATGAAAAAATGTTTTTGACGTTGCTTGGAGCCACAGTAGCATACTAATTGAGCACAATGCACACATTCAACTGACTGTTGAATTGGCCCCAAAGTTATCACAAATGCTAATTAGCGATGCATGATAGATGCAGGGAGGCCTCACCTGTAGTTTGAAATCTTTAGATCTTCCCTGTGGGCACAGCGGGCGAGGGATTCTGTAAACAGACTGGTGCGTACAAAATACACCGGAAGTGCCACCAAAACCCGAACCGGTGGTGACATACACTCCACAAAACGTCATTGTCATTGTGCAGAAGTGCAGTGCCCGTTGAGTTCCCACATTTACCAGAACAAGAGGGACTAACGAGCCACCCAGGGGTAACAAAAGCCAGTGCAGCATTCATGTGTCGTCACACGCACGCTATTTCATAAAACACAGTGCATGAAATAAAGATCAGGAAATACAATAACAAACAATGAAGAAGAATTAAGAAGATCAATCAACATCCCGAGAAATTTAGGACACATTTTACCTAAATATATATGTACACAGGCACCATTGCCGAATAATCCCAACGGTTTTCACTAAACCTAAAAGCAAAACACTGGCCACGCCTCTCCTTCCATCTAGACCAATCCTCCTTCTACCCACCACCAGTCACCCAAAAACACCAGCCCAGCGGTGCGCCCGTGACCCTCCATGTTCTAGTCACTAACTCTGTTCGGTTGATGGTAACCAGCTCGTAGTCGTTGTCAATGTTCACCAGAACGTTATCGGCGTACTGCTGGCCGGCGCTGCCCGCCAGCACGGTGGTACGCTCCTCGCGGTCAGTAGCGTAGTTCCTGAGGGAAGGTGATGGGTGAGTAGGAGGGACGACAGGGATTCGGCAGTGCTGGTACAGTGTAGTTGATATAACATAAGTTGTGATGAAGTTAGATATCCGGAGCACACTGCCAGTTTAAACACAATCACTTATATTGTAATCGTTATGCAAAAAATGATGGAAAATAAATACCAGAGTGGAAAATAAATAATCGGTGATATCGTGCTTTTTAAAACAATTCAAGGGCCTCAGCTTTTGATGTCGCATGATGTCAGCTGACGAATGCGTTTTAAGTCGCGTTCTGCTCCCTTACATGATGAAGCCGTTGTGCGCAAAGTTCTGGTAGATGGGCAGGTGGACCCGCTCAAACCCAGACACCTTCATGATGTGGAAGCCGCGGTTGTTGTGCACCAGGTTGTAGCTGAAGTTAGCAACCACCTGAAGCGGACAGAGAACGACCGGGTCAGTGGAAGTTTTACGTTCTGCAGGATCTGTCAGCCTATGACTGTGTGGCTACTGCCTCATTAGCATAGCGGTAATTCTTGGTCTTGATACATCGAAACAGCTACCGCAAAAATAAAAACAATGAATAAAAGCAGCTTCGTATTTCGACGACTGACTGTCACACAAACAAGGTCTTTAAAATCTTACCGACGTCCGACATATCCAATCCAAGCATAAAGTGAGCCAATGTTCGTCGTTTTGCTTACCTGGTTGAACTCCAGCACGTTCTGGAAGGTGCAGTTGGCCCGGGTGAAGTAGTTGTAGTACAGGATGGCCTCCTGGTATGGGGACGTCTTGCGACCCTCCACGTACAGGGTGGACCAGCTCAGGTTGTCGGCGAACAGGTTCAGGTAGATGTAGGCCTTCAGCGCCGTGGCCAGCCCGTTAGAGTCCGCCCGGATGTGCAGGCCGCCCTGGTTACGTTGGATTATATTGTTCTGCCGGCGGGAGCGAGAATCATTAAGCATTGGTATTCGGAAAACACATCACTATCACACTCTATTGAAGCACTTCGAAAACTAGGCGTTTTACCCAGCCACACCATCAAATTTATGCCAGCCCACACAACCCTACAGGCATTCCATTCACATTCCGTCTTCTACAAACGCATTCAATTCGTAGCTCAACTAAAACGCAGGACCCATAACTTCTCAAGCCTTGAACCTTTCGCCAGCACACAGTCCCCTCCCATAACTGCCTCCAGCGACAACCCTACTTTCCCGTCCCTCAAAGGCCCCCTCAAACACAACATCCCCTCCCATACCCTTCAGCGACCTCTCTCCCTCTTCTCTCCCTCACCGTGAAGTAGAGGTGCTGGGTGTTTTGCACGTCCAGTAGCACGGCGGCGCGACTCGACGTGAAGTTGCCGTACAGCCTCCGACCATTGTCCATCAGCCGGTTCCACTCCAGTGTCAGCGTCGGGTTGATCTCGCCGGCGTTCATGTAGGAGATGCCGCCGCCCTCGTTGGACGATATGTCAGAGTAGGAGACGTTGTGGCGCACATATCGGCCTGAGAAAGGCGAGAGAATAGTGAGGGGTAAAACAGGCCGAGAGATCATGATTCAGATGCAGCTAAGTTATACATACTAGGGTTGACTATTAAGTAATGGAAGTGCCCGAAGCAATTAAACGTTTTTGCACGTGCACACATTTTTTTGGTGTCATTTCATGCGCCCATGTTTTTTCTATCCAATGGTGAAGACCACATGTCCTTAGCTACTTTTTGCTATAAGCTATCGTCGTTTTCCCAAGAGACCTCCCGAACCTGTGGCGCACCACCTGGCAATGGCCAAAACCGTGCGCCAGCGCCGAGTGCAAGGTCATTAGAGCTCAGTTTGTCGTAGGGAAAAGGCCTACCAAGATCAGAAAATTTCTTTTTTAAGTGTATGGAGCGACGCAGCCTCCCCACAGACGATATGTCAGTGTTTTCATCGGTTTGAGAAAGAAAGCGCCGATCAGTCTTCTGGCGGCGTTCCGGAGCGGGTCAAGAGGAGGCTGGAACGGTGTGTGATGCTTGAAGGCGATTATGTGGAGTAGTGTATGCTGTCATCTATCGTGCCTTATGTGTATTTTTTTAATGAAAATATAGCAATTGTCCATTGTGTAGCCATAACAATAAGCCAGTAAGCTCTGATGACCTCGCGCTGGCGCTTGGCGCGCGATTTTGGCCATTGCCAGACTCCTTTTTCATGGTGCGCCGCAGGTTCAGGTGGTCTCTTGGGAAAACGACGATAGCTTGGAGCAAGAAGTAGCTAAGGACATGTGGTCTTCACCATTGGATAGAAAAAACATCGGCGCATGAAATGACACCAAAAAAATGTGTGCACGTGCAAAAACGTTTAATTGCTTAAGGCACTTCCATTATTTAATAGTCAACCCTAGTACATAAGTGATATGACAGCTAACGAAAGTTCATAAAATGCCCATAAATGTTTCCAAGCCCTCGGATTTGGGCCAAATGCTCCAACGTACCAATTCCCCTATCGGAAACCCGTTACTTATCACTCGACGTAGTACCGACAGTGGTCCTACACCCCGACTCCAACTCACTGAATCCGATGCTGGAGACTGGCAGCGTCACCACTTCAGCGATAAATCCGTGCCGACTGCCGGCGCCGCTCGCATGGAGCTGAACGCTCATCGAGGTCTCATTGGTCACATGGAACACCGCGCCATCAGACGAGCCCACCGACAGCTGCGCCATCTGTCGAGACGTCACGTTATAGATATCGCCATCGTACAGCCGGATGTAGTCCGGTGTCAGAAGTGGCTCATCGGTTGAATTGACCAGGTTGAACTGCAGCAATCTGTGAAAAAGTGAAACCGAGAATGGTTAAACACCGGCAATTTAATAAGCGACATACAGTCGGGAAAAAGCTTGAAACGCATCTACCGAAAAAAAACTGATGCTCTAGTACAGAACACTACAAAAACCAGCGATTGAATTGGAACCCATTCGAGACAGGCGAATTTGCGTTGTATCGAGCGACGCGAACATACCTGAATCCGAACGTTTTGATGCGAGCCGACGAGGTGAAGATTTTGACACAGTCCACCGGCCGGTTGTCGTACTTGTAGTAAAGCAGTATCCTTTCTTGGACAACTATCTCCTTGTGGGCGTCGCACATATCCACCATGCCTGCGGCAAAGCAGAGCAGAACGATTGAAGGAGCAATGCAGTGATCTAGGATGACGAATATGAAAGCGACTCTACTGGACCTTGGCTTGAAGGGAACGGGACACGTCGACTCCATGCTAACTATACGTGCATATTGCATCTATCGAAATACGAAAGAAAACAATTCAAACGATAAACAGTAGCGCCAACTTTCAGATAAGGATTACGTTCCACATGTCTATCGTTCCGTCCATGGGGACACCTAGTCCTTTGTCAGGGCTTGTCTGTACTTACCGAACAGGTTGTACGGTACGGGCACCTCCTGCAGTGGAACGAACGAGCTTCGTCCGGAGCTGCGCGCCTCGCCGGTCAGCATGATGGTATTCAGGCCAATACCGAGGTTATTGTGCACCCTGCGACACACAGACGGGACAGTTGGGTTAGAGACAGGTCGAGAACCGGGAAATGGGCATAGACGCGACGGTTTCTGTTAAATGTTCATGGTGACAAGTGATTCCTTCGTGAAATAGATATCACCGATAAGTTACAAATGAGCAGCGCTAGAATGCATGAAAATAAAATATTTTTATCATCGACATCCATAAAGATACAACTTTGAAACTAATTGGAGACGATAGGCAGGAGTCCACGAATGACACTAACAAATTGCCAGGAGTCTAAAATAAACTTTGGGCATTATTCCACGTGGTAGCGCTACTCACCACAGGTGCATGAAGTCGAGTGTCCGCGTGGGGTTAACCACGGTCACGCCATCGCTCAGACTGCCAGTCACATTCACCGCACGAACGTCGGGCGATATGGCCACGCTGAGCAGCGCTGGAGACTTCTCCCCATGCAGCCAGCCGGCGCCGAGAACATCCACAAACCTCAGACGCGACTGACGTGACCGACCGCGGCCGTGGGTGTGGACGTCGTGAAGCCGCTCGAAGAACGACTGAACTTCGAAGGTTGGCGTGGAGAACCTCACGCCTCCCCACGCGCGCGCCGTGGCGTTGGCGTCGGCCGCTCCACACGCGATGAACACATACTCGTCTTCCCAGTGGCAGCGGGGAGCGGGCTCGCCCGGTCGGCCAGTCATACGGAGTCGACACTGACCGAGGTTCTCCTCCTGTCCCGAACACTCGAGAAGCTCAGGCCAGGTGGTGACCAGACTGACAGATCCAGCGTGAAACTCTGTGCGCTTTCCGCGGCGGAGATGCACGTTCACCGACGGAAGGCCCTGCTGGCGGCACACAACCTCCGCGTTCCGATCGGAGAAGCGCCGGTCACACACCGGCACCCACTGCACCGTGGTGGCATTAAACAGCTCCAGAAATCCCTCCGAGCCTCCACATTTCCCAGCGGTACACAGCCTCAGCCTGGCCGGCCTCTCGTCGTGGCCCCACAGCTGCCGCTGGGCCACAGCGCGGCCCACGCGGAAGTGTTGCAGCTCGCGGGTGAGGGGACGGAGGGTGATGCGTTGGCGAGGGTTACCCTCAGCCAGAAGGGTGCCCAGGACCAGCAGACCGACGGACGAGTAAAACTCGAGTGTGACGCCCGGCTCCAGGCGCAGCGTGGCCTCTGGCATGACGGTGATGTCCGAGCGAACAATGTAGGGCTGCGGACGGTACCTGGCGGTGAGGGAGGGGTGAGTCAGTTACTGACGGCACTGAGGGTGAAGATGGTTCAACTGTAACTGGATATAGGATCGTAACAATATCTTAAATATCATATCTATCATAGTTGGATGATCGTTGTATGCTATTTCAGGCTCCCAAATTTACGAGCATGCATTTGGACAACAAGCAGGTTTCGATTTCCTGTTTCGAGAAGCATGACGCTAACAAATTGAAGTCCATCAGGGAGAGTGCTGCAGATATATCAATGCATCATTAGCGCAGTCGATCACACGAGCCAACTTTCCAGCATCTTTAACGGTCGTCCCCTGCCTCGGCTGCCACTGATTCAACTCACCGGAGTGTGAAGTTGCCCCTGATCCTGCCGCCAAGGTTGTCCAGATCGGGCTGGTGCTCCTGCTCGTACTCGTACTCTTCCGGCGCATCCAGCGAATCCCTCGACAGGAACGGACTGAATCGCGCGATCGCATAGCTGTTCCAGTCATCAAAGTCGAAGATGCGTTCCCGGATCTCGTGTGGGTTTCTCGTCCCCCACCAGTTTCGGCTAGCCATCAGTTCTGTGGCCAGACTGGACGAGTGAGTCCCAGCCAGGAACTCGTAGTCCATCTGATTGCGTCCCAGTAGATTCTCTGTGACATTGACACGCTGTACGCCGCGCACCGCCAGCACGTGACTCGGCGCTGCGTGCACCGCCCTGCCGGACAGCGGCTGCTCGTTGAATCGCACCTCATTACGGGTGATCTCGGCAGTTACGTGACCGAGAATCTCTGACTGACTGTCCACCGCCACTTCCACCATGAAAGTTCCCGTGTTCCGACGGATCACGTTCCTAGAAATCAGCAGCTCCTTTTCCATGCCACGCACCGCTAGCAGGCCACCGTTACAGATGTTATCCTGGAAAGTGTTTCGCAGGATCTGGAGTCTCGCGAAGTGGCCTCCGACCACTGCCTGGAAGTCGCGATTGCCGGAGAAGGTGCAGTCGGCCACGTAGAAGGAGTGGGTGAAGTTCTCGTTGTAGCGCCACACGTAGGGAAGAGAGACGTCCAGGCCGCCGCGCCGGTTGGACGTGACGGTCGTGTTGTCCAACACCCAGTGGAAGAGGTTGTTGGACAACCATAGGTCCCTGATGGTAGAAGCGCGTGTCAGATAAAACTTAATCGTCACCTTTTTTCGTGAAACGAAATCATGCGATGCCTACACAAAATGAATTAAAAGCTGACTGAACAAATAAGTATACCTAAGTGGACATCAACTAAGCCAGCAACAAGCTTTTACGATGAAAGTAACCGCAAAAAAAAACATTAACAAAAACTGCTTACTCTGCCGGAGGCTAAGCACTTTTCATGCTAGCTGAACTTTTGGGCTTTCGCAATCGGGTGTCAAATTCATCAAGCACATCCAATCCGCAGTAAAGCACCGCCACCCACCTGGAGAACTGCCTGATGCCGGCTCCGTTGTTGTCGATCCGCGTCCTGTTGATCACGGTGGTCACCTCAGAGATGTTGTGAGACACGTCCTCTCGGAACGGAGACAGGTAGAACACCGCCTCCTCGCGGTTACCCGAGAGCTCAGAGTCGTACATCTCGATAGAGACGTTCGATTTTCGGAGGAAGAGCTCGTGTAGGTCGCCACGGTATCTGCAGGCATAGTGAATAAGGTGACGATACATGAGCATCGCATATTTGACATATTGGGTGGATGCGAAGCTTAGCCAGAGGGCAGACAGAGACCTACTAACTGCTCTGATGCTGCTATTCTAAGTGGCATTGGACTGATCTTAAATGCTTCGTTCGGTTGCCTAAGCATCAGTAGCGAGTGCTGATCGAATTAAGTCGTTAAGCTCACTTATGACGCCTCCTGCAACTCCCAACGCATGCAGTATGAGCATCACAAACACGCCAACAGTATATTCTCTAGCCTCCCGTGATATAACCAGTGCCTCTCAACTACCCCCTCTACCCATCGACTACGCACCTGCTGTAGAACAGAGCTGACACGCCGTATCGGTTTTTCCTGACGAGCGTGTTGTGCAGCCGCAGCCGAGGCACCCGTCCCCGCTCCTCCTCATACCGTAGCAGCGAGGTGAGACGCAGCTCCCGCACATCAGAACCTAAGAGCACAGACGAGCGATGGAATAGGTGTCAGAATTGAGCGAAACAAAACTTGTTCGGCGTGGAGCGTTAGGTATAACGGCATAGGAGACATTCAAGCAGCATGATACAAGCAGATCATCAGGAAGCAAGAAAAAAAGTACAGATAAGCAAACACACACTACAAAAAGCTAGACTACAAGCGTATGTACAACAGCATATTCCTAAGCCCCAATCCCTCCTCCCCAAAAGCAGATTCAACTGTAAGCCCGATGGTGAATCGCATGAACGCCATCCTGTCCCAGACCACTGCGTGTAGCTCTATGTAAGTACTCACGTCTGATGGCGGTGAACAGCAGCACAGCTCCGCCGCGGGCCGGGCCTCGGGTCATGTACCGCAGCGTGATCTGGTAACTGGCAGAGCTCACCGGGAACGCCAGAAAGTCGCGGCGCAGCTGCCAGATCTGGAGAAAACACGATCACATTTGGTTAACGAGGCATCACACTCTGGGCATCGCAGCCATAGAGATCTTATTATAAGATCTCTATGATCGCAGCATAATGGATTATTTGCGAGACTAGGGTTACGCGGTGGTGGTTAAAAATAGTAAGATAAACGGTTCAGTGAATCGAATAGTTATTCAGCCCGTGATTAATAATGGAGTTAGATAAACATCGAACTATCATCACAACACAGCTTAGGTATAAAACAAGAAAAGCTTCCAATGAAAATGACCTCCCTCGGTCCCGACTCGACCCTCACGACGTACCACGGCCGATGGCTCGATCTGGTAGAAGTCGTAGATGTGGATGTCCTCGGACGAGTCCGGCGGGCTCGGGTTCAGCACCTGAATGCCGATCAGGTTCTCACGGGATGTCTGCCAATGGAGAGGGGTCACACGTGATGAGAACGTCAGATCGGATAGAGGTAAATAGAAGCTCTAGCACTCTGACTGTGACGCACTGCATATTCTATTATAGGCAGCCGGTGCAACGCAGCAACCTGCCATATGTAGCCGAGACCTGCTTTCAAAACGACCACTTTCACTAAAAAAAATATAAGCATGTAGGCTGCACGTAAATACTCACCCAGTGAGCCAATCAAATTCATCAATTACATATTCCTCGACTTTTACTTCAACCAGCCACCTCAAGGATGACATTTTCACCAAGACCTTTCACTGGTTGGCAAGATAACTGAAACCCCAGACGGTACATAGCCTAACAAAAAAATAAGAGCTCTATCCACTACCCAGGGCATCCGCATCCAAACCTTCACACCTCATGACTAAGCCCCTCACCGTGACATGGAAGATTCTCTCCATGGCCTCGTCCGACCCCTCTGTGATCAGGTAGGTGGGCTGGTACAGGTCCAGCTCGATCCGTACCGATGTTGACGGTAGCAGCACGCGTCTCTCTCGCACCAGGCCGGCCCAGCCGATCAGCTCCCGCTGCTCGTGTCGGCTCAGGGACGGGTTGTAGTGGATGCCCGACTCGCCGTTTTCCTCCACCAGACAGTCTGAGGGTGGGAGAGGACGTTCAGTGACGGGTGTTGATGTAGATTATTTTAGCAAGACTCATTTTCGATCGTAAGGGTTGCGAGATTTATATAAAACTCTTAGAGAACGGTGAATTAAAGTAGTTTGGGCGAAACACAGTTCAGGATTTCGCAAAATAATCTTCTTTACGGAAACTGATATATGCACAAATACTTAGAATACCAATAATTTACCAATTGGTTTGCAGGGCACTCAAACAAGAAGCCTCCCTCAGAATTCAGCAAAAATTCAGCACAATAACCACGCCAATCACCCCCACTTCTTTCAGAGCTGCGGTGCACACCACCGGAGCCGGGCTCCAGCGTTTCCTCACTTGTCATATCGAGCCACAGTGAGCGCAGTGATATTCCGTGGCCGCGGTTGCCGCGCGCCTCCACCCGCTTCAGGTGGTTGACAGAGTCGATCTTGAACGTGTCCGAGTACATGATGCCCAGGCCGTCACCGTCGTTATCGGTTAGCACCACCGACTCCAGCACGTGGTGGTTAAAGTCCATCCGCAGCGCTGTGAAACGGAACACATGCACATCAAAATAGGTACAGAAATAATAATAATATAAAAAATAATAATAATAAAGCAAGTATAAAAAGAAATACAGGCAAAAGATCTGAAGAAAAGCAGGACGATATTAACTACTGGGCAAAGACACAAAAGACCTTCTGTAACTAAGCCAATGTTGTTCACGAAATATTAAATTAAAAGCGAAACACCACCATCAGCCTGCCAATGCCTTCCTTCTCACCTGGTCCAAACGTGTACGTCGCATGATCGATAAGTCCCGCGCTCTCAATCCAGACATTCTTCAGTATATTTTTCTCGGCGGGCAGACCGAACCGAACGCCCGCCCAACTGACGTCGTAACAGCGCAGTGCCACGTCCATCTCGTGCGGACACGTGTGCTCCAGCTCGGCCGCCGACTCGTGGCGACACCGGGTCACGTCCAGGTCGGTCGGCGCGCACGACACAGAGCTGAGGGGGAGAAGGGAGGAGGCAAGGTGGAGTCAGTGGAGGGTCGGTGGGCGCGCATGACACAGAGCTGGGGGGGGGGGGGGAGAGGGGAGGGTGTAAACGACAGGGTCAACGGACGGTCGGTGGGCGAGCACGACACAGACCTGAGGGTAGAAACACACTGAGGCGTTAAGGAAGGCTAGGTGTGGGCACACAGAGGTAGACGACGTGTTTACACGACGACCTCGAGCAATATAAAATTACGTTATGATAACAAATGAAAGCAGCCTACGCCCCCCTCCGGTTGAGTTTCGCTCGTAGCAGCCCTAGCAACAAGTTATTAAACTACACTAAACCCAATTTCCATTTCATCAAGGCAGGAAGCCGGATGGTTTCGCCAATGGGCGGACCTAGCAGTTTACCAGTGCTCCGTGGTATCACTTACCTCATCATCACGCGCGAGTCGAGTCCCTCTAGGGGCATCTCTGTGCGCGTCATCTGCCAGTCGAGCGGGTTGAGCACCCATCCCATCTGGCGGCACACCAGCGCCGCATTCAGGATGCTCCAGCCGCGCGAGCACACCGTGCCCCACTCGTTGTCAATCAGCACCTATTGGTAGGGCAGAGGGAGGGCCGGGGTTAGTGTTGGAGGTTATTAGACGCATAATTATGACCGTACTCATCTCTGAGCATAATGGGTACGGAAACATGGCACCGTAAAAGAGTAAAAGTAAAATGATAGAGCAGACTTTAGCTGTATTATACGAAGATAACTACATGCATCAACACTTTCTTACAAAACATTCCCAAAGAAATCCACTTGAAGTTGAGCAAAGACAGCCGTTCCTTCCATCTAAAGCACGTCGCCTCCCATCAAAGCATAATACTGCCACCCTTCTCGTCGGCCGCTGACCAGACTGACCTGCAGCCGTCCCTCTCGCTCGGTGCGCCCTCCGACCAGTCTGACGGGCGCCAGGCTGACGTTGTCCCGCTGATCGCGCTCCTCCAGACTGAATGTCACTCGCTTCTCCTCACTCATTGACGAGCCCTCGGCGTGAATGTGGCCGGCCACCATCATACCTGGACGGGACGCAGCAGTGATCAAATTGCTACCAAAGAAACTGAACGGTCGTAGGGCTAATCTGGAGAGGCAGAAATACGTTAAAAATGTTCGTTACGTTTACAGTTGCTTAGAATGTATGCAGTGAACTCAATATCGAATAATGCATTGAAAAGTTGCCAAAAATGTCTGAGAAAATGATAAAAAGCTGATAGGTAAATCAATTGATACGCATACATCTTCAAACCATCTCAGCGTAGTTTTCTCATTGTGTACTCACCAACGCTGTGCTGGAACTCGAGTCGCACTCCGAAGGCTACTGTCAGGCGGGCGCCCGGCCGGACATAGATATCCCGAGTCACTCGGAACGTGCCCTCCGGCAGGATCACCTGGCCCGCTATCTCTCCACCGATCTCGTTCTGCGCGTCCGGTCCGAAATTCGGCACAAACTGCTCGTTCAGCGAGAGCAGGATTGAGTTGGGGTCGTTCTCACTCAGCAGGAAAGGCTCGAAGTCCACCTTGGCCAGGTTATAGCGGTCTTTACGGTCGAATATACGGCTGTATACCTGGTTGGCTCGCTTGAAGCCGAACCAGTTGTGGGAGGCGTTGGCATTAGCGCTCTGATCCTCAAAATGCACGCCCAGTTCGTATTCCGACTCGGGATTCTCCATGATGTTGCGGTAGACAATGACAGAAGCGGAAGAAACAGTGACTACTGCGGCCACACGGTTACGAGGATTCAGACTGGGAAATGGCTCCTCGACGGCGTTCTTCACCAAAAAGTTGCGGCTGAAGAGGATCTGCTGCGCTGACGAGTGTGCATACTGTGACGCACCGATGTTCACCACGTAAATGCCGTTGTTCCTCTCGAAGTAGTTGTTGGTTATGTTGAGCTCAAGAGGTAGAAGCTCCACTTCAGGCGTGTCCCCGCTGTACACTCGCATTGAGGCCACACGCTGCTCAGCGAAGTAGTTGTACTCGATGTTACCGAAGATGTTGGCCACTGGTTCGATGTTGATGCCGAGTCGCTCATTCCTGAGGAAGCGGTTGTTACCGATCTGCAGCAGAAGCTTCCCTTTTGTAGCCTCCTGACACGTCCAAATATCCAACGCGTCCCAGAATGACCGCTGGAACACATTACCACTAATATTCACAAACGAATCTCGGCAGAAGTTGCCGACAAACACGCCTTGTAGTTCGTTCTCGGAGAGTTTCGAGTAGGCGAGGACAAACTCCTGGCTGAATGTCACCTTATGATCTGTCTCATTGTACCAGAGGGACACGCCACGACCCGAGTTGCCAGCGATCTCACACCAAGAAATGTTCTTGTTGCCGCCCGCGTAGGTGATATTGATGCCGTCACCGATGTTGTTCGTGATCTGGGACCACGTGATGTTGACATCACCGGCACCACCCAGCACGTGCACGCCGGCCACGTGTGAGTTGTTGGCCACGAGCGTGCGGTGCACGTGGACGAGCGAGCGCAGGTTCTCGACGGCGATGCCACGTCCGTTGTTGTTGGATACGTCACAGCTGGAGACGTTCAGGTCGTGGGTCTTCCCTGGAGAGACAGAAATATAACGGTCAGGGTGGCATGACTGACGTTGCACACATACAAGCTACAGCGACACTTTTCGACATATTGCTGTCAGTGGTAATAAAGTCGTTGGTCAAGGGCTTTGTTATGGACGACCGTATTATTTGCCAAGAGCGCACTGTTTGAGAGATGACTAATCTATAAACGATTTATTGCGCTGCCTGCGGCGCTATGCCCGAACCTCCCGATCTTTAATTCCCCTTCATTCTACCGTCGCCTCAACTGTCCTGTCCCTTGCCAACTCCATCGACCCATCGCAAAGTCCTGTCATTTCCCTACCCTCCCGTCCCATCCCGTTCTAACCCCGTCACTCGACACTCACCATCTCCGGCCGTGATGGCCATGATGACCTCTGTCTGGGTACGGTTCAGCGCCGAGAACGTCACCAGAAGCTGGTGACGGGTGGTCACCAGACTCTGGGGCCGGGTGGCGTTACGGACCTGACCAGAAAAAGGGCGAAGGTCAGCGAGGAAGGAGAGGGCGATGCTCAGGTATGTCAGCGGTCACTATGCTCAGGTCACAGGTGGTTAGTAAAATAGCGAGGATGGGCAATTACTAGAGCCGACATATTGTATTGCAGGGGTCGGCAAATGGTGGGGCATGCCCCCTTTGGGGGTAATGGAGCCCTTTCGGTGGGGGTAATGAGGGATTCTGAGAAAGCCTATCTTTTTAGAGTTTGTAGCTCCAGTGATGGAGCCATCGTGACTGTTGCATCCCAGGGTTCAAAGATTAGCCCAGGCCAAAGGCACAGCAGTCAGCACACATTGATTAGATACCAATTTTCACGTATTTACCTGCTCCCCTCACCATCTCACCCCTCCGTACAGTCGTATATACAAAAGCAGCTGCAACTTTTGACCGTCGCCCGTCTGTTGGCGTTTCAACAGCCGCTAACGTAAGGGGGAGGAGTCGATCGGACCCCCGCGGCCTCTCGGACTCTGATATGGAGCTGTGCATAAAAAAGACGAGCGTGCTACCCATGACAATAGGAAGCCGCTGCTGCCCATTTTTAAGGTCCTTGGTCATTCCGTCTCATTCAAGAGGGCAATGACAAGTGTCGAGAAAATCGGGACCCGCTATAACTCCTTGAAGTGAGAGTTTATGGCTCAAGATGATCTCCAGAAAAAGCTTATAAGCCAACGGTCATTATGGGTCCAGAGGCCAGTTTTACCAACAGAAAAATAGCCGCCTGCCGGAATTTTTGCCTAAAGATCGTTTCACATATGGAGCGTAAACGGTACAGCCCTATCCGCTTACGAGCCCATCGCGTTTACGCTCCGTATGTGAAGCGGTCTTGAGGCAAAAATTCCGGCAGGCGGTTATTTTTCTGTACTTGGTAAAACTGGTCTCAGGTCATGATATTTTCCGGGCTGGTAAAAAAAATATGATGGGCTCGAGGGTACAATTTGGTCGTGATCCAATGCCTTTTACGTGAGCTTTTAACAAAAAACCACCCGCCGCCCCTAAACGTACAAGGGTTAAATGGGATATAGCATAGGCGGCGGAACGGGGAGGGCACCGGGGCACCGTGCACCCTTTGATTTTTGCATTTTAACATTAGCCCTATGGGCGTTGCATGGAAAGAATGGGACCAAAAGTCAGCAGTGCCCCCCCTCCCCTCCCCTTAATTGAAGGTGTTCCGCCGCTACTGGGATATAGGCATTAAATGTTTTGTGGAGGAAGTGTCATGTTTTAAACTTGATGCATTAGAAATGCACAAATACCCAAAGAGTTCCAGGACGGTATGGAATTTCAGTAAACTTGGTTGTCTCAGCAATGGGGTCTGGTAGGTGGGGGTAATGGCCCTGCCTGGCGCCCAAAAAGAGGGCACGACCCCGAATGACCTGCCGACCACTGTTGTATTGTATCGACATTACTAATTGCAACCGCTCGCCAAATTAAAGGCATTGAATAGCAAACGTAGTCTTTCAATGACGAACAAATTTTAATATTCAACGCTAAAATGACGTCATACCAACGATAAATTATATGACTGGCATTCCATCAATACAACACGCAGATGAACAACGTACCGCGCCCAACAGGTCAGCCCCCTGGCCCGGCTCATTGTTGCGTGCGCGGCCGAAACGGCTCATTTCCGGAGTGATCACAAACATAGCGAGGTCGTGCGTCCGAGCCGCTCACGTTAGCTGCCCGACCACCGTCCGGTCCACGCTAGAGTGACGCTAGACCGCAGATCTGCTACAGGCAGCAATCCTGACACAGACTAGCCCTGTGACAGGCCGCACCTTGACGCGGGCTGATCTTGGGAGTACAGGATCTCTGAAGACTATGCTCGCGGCGACTTATAACAGCGGATGGGGAACGTGTCTCCTTGGCTTACCTTGAACGTCCCGAGCAGTGGGGAGGATGTTGACGTGCCATCGTAGAAGCTCAGCTGGGCGTCGTCGTCCCGTTCGTTCATCAGGTAGAGGAAGTTGACAGTGAGCACGAGGCCGGGCCGCGCGCGGAAACGCTGCAGAAGAAAAACACGGTTAGAATTGTCAGTTGTCACTTTTCCCGGAAAGCTAACAAAGCTTTCCTAAAGCGAGATGTAACTGCTAGGTATCTAGCTTCCAAAGGAATGATGTGGATAAAACTACTGCAGAGCTTTAGCTTTTGGGGTAGCAAGCCAGAATAATACTTTATATTGTAACACTTTCTTGGTAAATCACCAGCAATAGCTAGCCTACTGGCATATAAAATGAATAACACACGCGCCCTCTCATTTCATCTCATCTCAAGACCTTTCCGGTACTAGCAGTTTCCTCGGACTTTCTATACCTTTTGACACTGAATGGGCCGGTAACTGGTCTTGAACTGCTGTGCCACCGTGTAGATGGGGAAGATCTGCTGTGCGATGGTACCGGAGCTGCAGAAGTCGGTGACCGGCGTGCCGTCCACCTCCCGGCGCGGGATCTGAATGTCGTGCTGGACAAATTTGATACCGTCGGCCCCGTTATCGCGGATCCGGCAGTCGTGGACGCGCGCTAGGCCCGTGGAGGTGTTCATGTAGACGCCGATACCTGGAGAGAAGCGCCCATTGGTCATCGATGGCTCAGGTGGCGCAGAGCTGTGAGACATCGTACTATTGCGACCTATACAGTAGAATAACACAGTACACACCAAACAATATTGGATATGCTGCCACTGCTAACCATTATTTCCCGAGATTCTGATGTAATTCTCCAGCAGTTCTGTATTTAAACCGCTACCGCTACCATTTCTCGTTTTCTTTTATCTTTTAACGTTCCATTGACGCCGGCTATCTATGGCCCGGTCGTTCCAAATAAACGCCAAAGTACAATTCAGAAGCCAGACCGCCCTTGGACCGTCCGACTTACCCGCGTTCTCCTCCACTGTGCAGTTGTTGACGATAACCAGCGAGTCGGGCGAAGTAATGTTAATGCCTCCGTAGGCCGATCGGCGCACCGTTACACCGTACAGACGCGGAGGCACGCCGATACTCTCAATGGCCGCGTGTGCCTGCAAATGACGGGATCGGGAAGGTCAGGTCAGGACAGGTCACGACCATACGAGGGGCCTAATAGATCAAACGTTGCACACCTTACACAGACGGAATAGGTAGAATGCAGTCGCCAATTGAGAATAGGAACAATAAAGTAACAGTTCTATGCAAGACAAAAGGAAAGAAAATGGACAACCTAGAACAAAAGACTAAATATGCACTAAGCTTCTTGTATGCTTAAAGCACGCACACCTTCAAACGTCAGATATGCGTGACTCAACCACCTCACAGTATTCACACGTGCCCTCACACTCACTAATTTCTAAAGCCGCACTCCTACAGGAAACCTGACCGGTTCCCTTCCACGTGGCTGGCCCGCTCGCTCCCGGGTTCCCCGTTACCCGGCCGTTGCCCGTGGCCAGTGACCCTCCTCGGCGACCCCTCACGACCTCCTAGTTTGACCGACACTCAGGGCTACTTCAGACGGAACGGAACGCGGTGCTGTCCGACTCAAGCGAGCCGTCAGAGCTTATTTCACGGTTCGGTATAACACTGTCATGCCGGTGGCCGAACCACGGCTGCTCACGAGACTCTTCGCCCGCTGACCGGTAGGGCTGCATACTTAAGTGACACACGAAATAGAAAAAGATGTCTACCACGGCGCAAACACGTAAAAAGAGGCCCACGAACAGCATCCACATCCCATGCTGTTGGAAGGATAACCCGAAGGCATCTCTGTTATTATTATCATATTAACAACGCTCTGAGGAGTAGCATGCAATCGCATTCTGTCCCGGCCGTTGATATTACACTGTTGAACTGTTCAGAGTTCCGTTTCCGTCTCAGCCTCACCTGTCTGCCCAGCCCCATGCCGGCTCCCAGCACATCCACGTGGTACAGTTTGGACTCGGAGAACTTCTGGTAGAGCGTGTCGTCGGCGGTCAGCAGTTTGGTGTGGTCGGCCCGCTCGAACCTTAGGCCGCGCCAGTGGGCGGCCGGTCGGGTCAGGTCGAATACGGGCAGGCAGCGCAACGCCAGGTCAGCATGCTCATCTGCAGAAGGGTCATATCAGAGGTCAGCTCAGGTCAGGCTGGTTTTGGTTAGGTCATAGACCTAAATCTGAGCACTGATCCAAAAGTAATATAAATTCCCACAGACCGCCATTTATCTCACCATCTCATAGCATAGGTCAGTTAAAAATCGATTAAATGCCAACTTTCCAACATCGCACAAATGTTAAGCTCGTCTCAATATTTGAAATCTGAGTACCCCATCAGCGGAAGAGTCCACTTCCAACCACCCACTCCTCTGTACCACGTACCGCATATGCCGGCTCCCATGGCTCGGGTATCCCAGTGGCAGTCCTGTACACGCGCCTCTGTACCGGTACACTGGGGCCGCTCGTAGAGCAGGCGGCGGGTACCGTTCAGCCACGGGTACCACTCCGAGTACTCGCCGCCCGTCAGACCCATCTGACGACATGCCACGCGCGCGTCCGGCGCTGTCCAGCTGAGGGCAGAGAGCGAAGATGGTCAGAAGAGTGGAAAGGAGAGAGGCGAGATGCTAAGAAGAGATAGGGTTCCAGAAACGAGAGAAAAAGGCGATGTAAAAGAGCGGTACCGTGGGGACAGAATGTGTGTGTACGGATGGGGGGGGGGGAGGGAAAAGACTAGGGCTTATCCAGAGGTGTCAAGCGGTCAGGGAATGAAGAAAAGGAAAAGGGTCAACAATGAAGGAGGATACGAGACATGGATTCAGGGTAAAGGTGAGCCGGAGAGTGGGGGAACGAGCGGCGAGCTCAAAATAGAAGCGACCGTATTGGCAAACGAGTATGAGAGGGCTTGCACCGAGAGGAAAGTGTAGCGGGTGAGAACTACAGGAGAGAGGCAATTGAAAGCAGCGAGCCGCCTGGGTTGGGTCAGCTTTTACGAGCTCTGCAGACGGGGGAGGTCACAGAGCACAGTTGCCACATAGGTATCCGAATGGAGAAGCTGGCGGCGCTCTGCTGTGATTGTACCTTTGACCATTCAGGCAGGGCAGATGATGAACTGCAGCACTAGCAACACTTTGCAAGGCTAAAGAAGAACGATGTAGTTAGTAGTTACGCTGTGACCGTAAGGTGGCGGGAAGAAAGCAGGATCGATAAGCCAGAGTTCAGAAACGACCCATAAGCCTGTGTTTCCTCAATGAAATCATCATGCAACGAATGTAGCAAGGAAACCCCGACCCGTATCTCATGCAGAATAACAACGAATTTCATTCACTTGGGAGCTAAAAGGAAAATCGACAACTGCTCCAGTTCTTTTAATTCTCAAAATCCTAGCTATCTACAATACTGCAGCTGGTTTGCTATATTTATAGTCACCGTGGTTTGCTAAACCAGCAAAGGTTACCTTGAACTTTAAACACTCTGACGAGACCGGTGCTGCCCACCCAAGATCCCGATTAAAAGACCCAAATAGCCAGTATTAACACCGCCCATTGCGTGCCTCTCACGAGATATCTGCTCCTCCGTCGCCACTGCAATAACCGGCTCCCAAGCGGCACAGGCCGACGGTGACGGGGCAGCACCGACGCGCTCCGTGCACACACAGACACACAAACACAGCGAGGAGGGGCGGTGCCGGTTAGTTAGAGAAGCCGTGCCGCAACGCAGCCAACCAGAGCAGAAACAAACGAACAACTCCACGGCGCCGGACGGACCAACAACGGTCACAGAAAACAGAATAAGGCGAGTTTCTCAACCGCGCCGCACACCCACACGACTGTCCAGCCTTTGTTATAATGAGATCGCTATCATACTCGCTATCTCAAGTTCACACGGAGCATGCCATTTATTCTCATAAAACAGCTCCATCTCGTCTGTTTCGTGCAGCGGACCAAGAGAAACTGAGGACCGAGCCGAGATCCTGGCCGGGAGGCGGGCTGGCGCAGGGAGACTGCAGTTCAGCGTAGGTCACTAACACCAGCGACCGCGTCTCGGTACGCGGGTTATCAGCTCTGCCACCCTGCAGGCGCAGCACAGTGACAGATAACTATGCGGCAAATATGCAAAGAGGCTTCTCTAAAGGCGATAATATCCTTGCTGCTGCATTGTCTGAAACCGTTCAAAACATGTTGGAGATAACATATTGAAGGACATTACCGTTTTTCCTACAATGTGGCAACTGGCAGGCTGCGTGTGACTGCTACTTCGTGTTGTGATTACAGTTCATTTTAGATCACACTGCACGTACATACTGTAAGGATTAGACAATTGTAATAAAGTAACAAACGTGCACCACAGCGGCTTGAAAAGTGGGCGGAATGCCAGTCACGATAAGACCGGCTCCAAAGGCAAAACAGAGACAAGTGTGAAGGCCATACCCGAATGCATGCTGGCTGTAGGCCAGGCAGCTGCGCCTGACATAGAACCAGCTAGCTAGCGACATGCCAAAGGGCAATGCATCTCTTAACCTGATCCAGAGGTGTGCTAGTCTAGCTCAGATCAAGCCTTCAACTTTCAAGAGACTTTGTACGTCGGAAAAAAATGTAGCAGAGTTCCTACATCTCGAAGCGCCTATCCTCATCTCGACTGTTCCCTCCCGAGTCGTTCTAACCGGTCCATTACATGGAGGGCTGTTATGACGCACTTCAGCCGGCGGTCAGCTGACTTCCCTCTACCAATGACGTCACAGAGGGACCGAGTCGGCAGAGTCGGCCACTCAAGGCCACCGGCTACGTTTATGCAGTGCCGACTGTCTGAGCTCAGAGGTATAGCTGCGGCGGAGGCCAGCGCTCCGAGACGGGTCACCATTGTTTGGGCACCGACCTATGCTCTTCCGTATGACGAGATAGGGACACACGTGACACAACCAAGATTGAAGAGCGCTGAAGAGTCCACTTTACTATCAGTGAATGAGGATCATCTAACCCTAAATAAAGCTGCACACCAATAAGTGCTCCTTCCCCAGTATAATGCATTTCGGGTCTGACAAACATCGCCTCTGTAATTGTGTTCTGTAACGCAGATGCGTTACATTTTTTTCATCTTTCATGCTGAACTGCAAGCTGTGCCACAAGCTGAAACACGGCCATCTGCGAGCGCCGCACAGACACGGTCAGCCGGCTAAATCGGCTGTAATACCCTCTCTCCGTCCCAGCTGGCGTCCACACAGACGGCGCAGTCGGCTCTGACAAACAGGGGTCCTCTATAGATGACCACCCCACTTCATGAGAACCCGGATCTGAAGCCAACAAATAGCATACCGAAACGCGCCATTCTGCCAGCCTCGAGCCATTAATCAGTTTAGCCTTTGGAAAACAAGACTCTGTCCCACGCTCGGCACCCCGCCAGAGAACAAGGAGAGGGGAGTGCAGACCGGCCCTGATTTGAACCAAAACAAGAAAGGGGAGCGGAGACCGACCCGGGTTGTACGAAAACAGGATGAAATGGAACTCGGTCGCCAACGACAAAATATAGGACATCTGGCCGGACCTGACTTCAAAACAAGGGGAGCAGAGGGCCAGGCCCGCCACCTGGCGCCTCAGGCGCCGTGAGCGCCGGCGGCGAATTCCACCCGGTCGCTGCGTGAAAGGGTGCGACTGCCATGGCCGGAGGGGAACCGAACTTTGTCAGCAAATCACGAACTTTCGAGGGCGGAGCCGAGTGCAGCTTCTGAGAATGGAGGACGGAGATTGGACAAGGTGATGCTGCCCGGCCCTCTGAAGTATGACGTCATCAGAAGTATAAGTTGATGAAACGGAACTGAAAAGCTCTCTCGGACGACGCATTCCGCGCTCTCTGGCTCTCTCTCGGACGACGGATCCCACGCCGCTCTTCGCTCTCGGCTCACATCTGACACCGTGGACAGCCCACGAGAGACCAGCGGCAGGCATCACGGCGCCGGCGGCGGCTCCGGCCGCCTGGCCGGGCGCTGGACGGTCACGACCATCATGTCAGCGACTCCATCTCAAGTAAGGTCACGCGGTGAACACGGGTGCGCACCTAGTCCCTAAATCCTCCAAGTAACCCCCCCCCCCTTTCGTTACTGCTATGTGAGCCACATTATATTCCCCTTTTAGGTGTCGTCCGCAATATTTTAGGCCATTCAGCTTAGGTATTTAAATTTATTCTTGGGACTTTCAGTCTAGGTAGCTTAATTTCACAATTCGATTTCGATCAATTATGTAACTGTGCGCGTAGTGCGACACGCGTGCCGACGTGGGCCCTCTTCAGTCGTCTGGCGCCCCGTTGTGATTTAAGCGGACGGAGGGGAATACATGCACCGTGGGGAGTCGGGAAAGGGACGGGCGACTGTGTACCGCACCGCGCGGCTTGTGGGGCTCAGTTGATGGGCGGCCTGGGCCCAGAATGTTTTCTTTAAATTTGACGTGAAAGGGAATTTAAGGTGTTGCGTCGGAGTATGTAAATAAATGGGACTTGTAAATATCGAAATACGAGTGTGAGTAGTGCTGAAGGGGCAGGAATCGGAGGATGGAGCATAAAAGGCCATATGCTAACCCACAGTCAGGAAAGAGGTCGTTTCCAAGGTGTCCGGCCAGAGTAATTTACAACGATCAGTTCTCTTTATCTGTTGAGTTTACACAGTGCACAAAGCGATTATACACAACACATGCAGGGCCTCCCTAGCCTAACCGATACTGGAGCTTCTCCGGTTGACTCCTAAGTGCCCTTGCCAGTGGATTTCCTGGCACTCCATCCTCCCCAAATTATCCCACGGTCCAACAATAGCGATTATACACAACACACACAGGACCTCCCTAGCCTAGCCGATACTGGAGCTTCTCCGGTTGACTCCTAAGTGCCCTTGCCAGTGGATTTCCTGGCACTCCATCCTCCCCAAATTATCCCACGGTCCAAACAATAGCGATTACACACAATACACACAGGACCTCCCTAGCCTAACCGATACTGGAGCTTCTCCGGTTGACTCCCTAAGTGCCCTTGCCAGTGGATTTCCTGGCACTCCATCCTCCCCAAATTATCCCACGGTCCAAACAATAGCGATTACACACAACACATACAGGACCTCCCTAGCCTAACCGATACTGGAGCTTCTCCGGTTGACTCCTAAGTGCCCTTGCCAGTGGATTTCCTGGCACTCCATCCTCCCCAAATTATCCCACGGTCCAAATGATAGCGATTATACACAACACATACGGGACCTCCCTAGCCCAACCGATACTGGAGCTTCTCCGGTTGACTCCCAAGTGCCCTCGCCAGCGGATTTCCTGGCGCTCTACCCTATCCAGCGGTCCGAATATAAGGAGCACACATAGACCTTGCCGCACACGAAATATTTGTAACTTTACCCCACATGGACACTGGGGACACTGCAAGGGACGGAACCGGGGAGATAGATGATGCACGTCACGCCCCTGTGCGTGGAAAGTCCACCGACGCGGCCATGGGTTAGGAGGGAGATAAGAAGCGAGTGAAATGGAATTGAAGACTGTACACGTAGAGGAATCGGATTTCCTGAATGAAGCTCAGCTCGGATAGACCC